ATTTTAAGAGCAAGAGGCTGAGAAACTAAGCAAAAAGTGGTTAAGAGACTAAATTGATAAGCAAAGCTGTCCGTAGTCTCAAAATGCAGGGAGATAAAAACTAAATTTCAGCACCCAACAAAGAGAAGGAGTCTTAGTAAACACACAGCTTTCTACTAAAATCCTCAAGGGCTATGTCCTAAAAATAAAGTAAGTCAAAATATAGACTAACTCTTAGAAAGTCTGAAACCATGCTGCAAATTCTCTTGATCTTTAATGGGATCAATGTAATTTGCTCCTAGACTACCTGTCTACCAAGAAAAAAATTAAATATGCTATGGTGAAAATATCATCATCCAGAGTATCTATAATTTTTTGTATACAATATCCAGCATTCAATCAAAAATTACAAAACATACCTGAAGTCAAGGTCAAAAGACTAGAAAAACAAAAGAAAAAACAGGCAACACATACAGACTCACAGGTTTGTATAAGAATATTCAAGTATGGACTTTAAACAAGTGATTAATATGTTCAAAAAAACCAGACAATTTCTCCCAGAATATAGCAATTTATAGGAAATTAATCAAATGGAAATTTGATGGCTGAGAAATAACTGAAATTCAAAACTTGATAGAAAACAATGAGATACCACTACACATCTGTTGTTACAGCTAAAATCCAAACTACTGACAACATCAAATGTGACATATATGTGGAGCAACAGGAACTCTCTTATTCACTGTTGGTGGGAATGCAAATGGTACAATCACTTTAAAAGACAATTTGGCAGTTTCTTATAAAACTAAACATACTCTTACCATATGAGCCAGCTACTACATTCCTTGGTATTTACCCAAAATGAGTTAAAATATCCAAATGAAAAGGAAAAAAAGATTAAAAAAAAAACAACAAAAAACAGAGAAGTACATAAGAAACACAAGGATCTCAGAGAAAAGATCTAACACATGTAATTGGAGTCCTAAAAGGAGAGGGGAGAGGGCGCCTGGGTGGCTCAGTTGGTTACGCGACTGCCTTCGGCTCAGGTCATGATCCTGGAGTCCCTGGATCGAGTCCCGCATCGGGCTCCCTGCTCGGCGGGGTGCCTGCTTCTGCCTCTGACCCTCCCCCCTCTCATGTGCTCTCTCTCTCTCATTCTCTCTGTCTCAAATAAATAAATAAAATCTTAAAAAAAAAAAAAAATCTTTAAAAGGAGAGGGGAGAGAGAATGGCAGAAACAACACTTGAGGATTCACCAGTCAGAATTATCCAAAGATTAAAACAAAAAAGAAAAATCAAGTCACAATTCAGGAGGCTCTAATAACCCTACCCAGGATAAATACAAAGAAAACCACACTTAGGCAACCCTGGTTAAGTTTCTAAAAACCAAATCAAAAACAAAGAAAAATAGACAAAAGGGGAAAAAATAAGACTGATAGCTGACTTCTCAACAAAAATAATGGAAAGCAAATGACACAAGAATTGTATCTTTAAAGAGTTCAAAGAAAAATGACTATAGGGAATGCCTGGGTGGCTCAGTCAGTTAAGCATCTGCCTTCAGCTCAGGTCATGATCCCAGGGTCCTGGGATCAAGCTCCACATCAGGCTTCCTGCTCTGCAGGGAGCCTGCTTCTCCCTCTCCCTCTGCCTGCCACTCCCCCCCCCTTGGATAGTGTGTTCTCTCTGTGTCAAATAAATAAAATCTTAAAAAGAAAAGAAAAAACAAGAAAATGACTACAGACCTAGAAATATATAACTACAAATATATCCTATAAAAATAAAAGGGAAACAAAAACTTTTACAAACATTGAGTGAACTTATTGTTAGTAGTCAGTAATGAAGGGAAATACTAATGAGAGTTGTTCAGGCAGAAAGATAACTAACCCAGACAGAAACATGAAAATGCAGTATAGAATGAAGAGCAATAGAAAAAGTAAAGATGCAGCTAAATCTAAATAGACACTGACGGAGTGCCTGGGTGGCTCAGTCCATAGAGCGTCTGCCTTTGGCTCAGGTTATGATCCCAGGGTCCTGGGATGGGGCCGTGTTGGGCTCCCTGCTCAGTGGGGAGTCTGCTTCTCCCTCTCTCTCTGTCCCTCCCCCTGGTTGTGTGCAAAGGGTCTCTCTCTTTCAAATAAAATCTTAAAAAATAAATAAATAGACACGGACGTAAAACAACAATAATGTCTTGTGAATATAAAATATACGCAGAATTAAAACAGACAACAACAACAGCACAAAAAGTGGAAGGGAGATAAAATGAGGTAAAATATCCTAAGGTCCTTGCCTTTTCCATGGAGTGGTAAAAGTACTCTTTTATAGAACTAAAAAGTCAAGAGTGCATGTTATAATCTATAGAGTAATGCACCAAACAAAATATAAGACAGTGTGTAACTAACAAAGTACTGAGAAGAATAGAAATAGAGAAAAAGAACAGCCATGACAAACAGAAAACAAATATAAAAACAGCAGATTTGAACTCAAATATATCAGTGATAACATTAAATGTAAATGGACTATATAACATGGTCTACAAGTCAATAAAAGACCAATGTGAAAAGCAAAACTCAAAATATATGATGGCTTTTGGCATAAAGAGAGAAAAATATTTCAATACAACAGAGTATAAAATCCAGAAACAGATCTACAGAAATATATCCACCTGATAGATGATAAAGATGTCACTGCAGTACACAGGAGAATGGAAGGTTTTTTCAATAAATGGTGCTGGATCAACTAGTTACCCAAATGGGAAAAAAATTGAATCTAAATCTTTAATTTACATCACATATAAAAATTAGATGCAAGGTAGATTATAATCTAAATGTGAAAGACACAAAAAATTAAACTTCTAGAAGAAAATCAGCTAATTTCTTCATGACCTTGAGGTATGGGAAGAGATCTTAAGCAGAACACAAAAAAGACAAAAATAAAGGAAAAGATTAACTGGATTTCATTAGAATTGATGGCATCGTCACCAAAAGATTCCATTAAGAAGTAAAAAGGCATCGGGCGCCTGGGTGGCTCAGTTGGTTAAGTGACTGCCTTCGGCTCAGGTCATGATCCTGGAGTCCTGGGATCAAGTCCCGCATCGCACTCCCTGTTCGGCAGGGAGTCTGCTTCTCCCTCTGACCCTCCTCCCTCTCATGCTCTCTGTCTCTCATTCTCTCTCTCTCAAATAAATAAATAAAATCTTAAAAAAAAAAAAGAAGTAAAAAGGCATACCAGAGCAAGAAAAGACATTTGCAATACATATATCTGATAAAGGACTCTTAATCAGAATGCATAAAGAACTCACAAAATAGGCAAAAAGCCTGAACAGGCAATTCAAAAGAGGCAATCTAAAAGCCAATAAACATGCAAAAAGGTATTTAAACTCATAAGCTTTCAGACAAATGTAAAATAAAACCAAAATGTGAGAATACTGCACCCACACTAGGATAGCCAAAATTCTTAAAACTGAAAATATCAAGTATTGGTGAAGATGTGGAGGAACTAGAACGCTCACACACTGCTGGTATAATAAACATGCTATAACTACTCTGAAACTATCTTTGACAGGAGCTGGTACTACTGAGATCCACATACCCTATCAACTAAGAATTCCATTCCAAGGCATAAACCCCACAGAATTGTATATATAATGTGCACTAAAATACAGGTACATGAAAATTCATAAGCATTATTAGTGATAGCCAAAATCTGAAAGAAAAAAAAAAAACTAAACATCCACCAACAATATATGATGAATAGAACAGAAAAACTGCAGCATATTTACACAATGAGATACTACATGGCAATGAAAATAATTACTGCTATATTCAGCAACATAAATGAATCTCAAAACATAAATGACCCCAGACACAAAAGAGTATAAATAGTATAATTCTATTTATATAAAGTTTAAATACCTGTAAACTAATTGATAGAAGTCAAAATAATAGTTACCTTTGAAACTGGAAGGGGGAACAAGGAAGAATTCTGAAGGAACAGGTAATGTTTTATTTTTCGATTGAGGGATAATTATATGCGTGTTTTCACTTTGTACAATTTCTACACAAATGATCTGCTGATTGTTATGATGGCTAATTTTATATGTCAACTTCACTGATCAAAGGGATACCCAGATGGCTGATAAAACATTTACAGGTGTGTCTGTGAGGGTCTTTCCAGAAGAGATTAGCATTGGACTCAGTACACTTAAAAAAGGTGACCTAACCAATGGCAAGTGGGCATCATCCAATCAGTTGAGGATCTGAATAGAACAGAAGGCAGAGGAAAGGTGAAACTGCTCTTTGCTGGACATGGAACATCTATCTTCTTCTGCCTTCCGACATTAGCACTTCTAGATCTGTGGTCTTGAGACTTACACCCTGGCTACCCTGGTTCTCAGGCCTCTGGGTTTGGACTACAACTATACCACCAGCTTTCCTGAGTTTCCAATTTCCAGATGACAGATTGTAGGACTCAGCCTCCACAATCATGTGAGGCAATCCTTCATAATAAATCTCTTTCTGACCATGAGAGACGATGGACTCTGAAAAACAAACTGAGGGTTCTAGAGGGGAGGGGGGTGGGAGGATGGGTTAGCCTGGTGATGGGTATTAAAGAGGGCACGTTCTGCATGGAGCACTGGGTGTTATGCACAAACAATGAATCATGGAACACCACATCAAAAAAAAAATCTCTTTCTGGATATCTATGTATATACTATTCGGTTCTATTTCTCTGAGGATCCCAATTATAGTTGTATACATCTCCATATTATGTTATATTTAAATTTTTAAGTTTACCCACATACAAAGTTTTCTTTTGGGGTAATGAAAATGTTTTGCAACTAGATAAAAATGGTAGTTGCACAATATTGTGAATGCGCTAAATGCCACTGAACACCTTAAAACAGTTGTTTATATGAATCACCTCAATTAAAAAAGTTACCCAAAAACTCAACCTCAACAATGTATAATTTATTAGTAGACATTAATTACCACAAATATTAAAAGTTGTAATGCCAAACTTACCAACTGCTGTGTCACCATCTAACAAATTGTCATCTTCAGAAGTCTGAAAGTCCATAATAACACCTGCTCCATCTAAAAGCTCCTCATCACTACTTGCACTTGTTATACTGTTGTAGCTGTTTCTATAGTATCCTCTATGGAACAGCTGCTCAGACTCCATTTAGCTGTCTGACTATCTGAAAAAAGAAGAAAAAATGGTTTCAACATTTTCCCAACATCTAATAAAAATCACCTAGTTTAATAGGACAAAATGAAACTTCTGATTCCTATATTTAAAAAAATTACTGAGGTCATTCACTATAACAATAGCTAACTATGTCTATTGGGATGATTTAATAATTCTATTCTCACTATACAGCTACAAAAAGGAATGAATTTCTTCAGGTAGTGGCATAAAACAATCTGCAAGATCAATTGTTAAGTTAAAAAAGTACAAAGAAGAGGTGCCTGGGTGGCTCAGTTGGTTAACCATCTGCCTTCAGCTCAGGTCATGATCCCAGGGTCCAGGGATCAAGCCCTGCATCACGCTCCCTGCTCAGCGGGGAGTCTGCCTCTCCCACTCCCTCTGCCCCTCCCCCTGCTCCTGCTCTCTCTCTCTCTGTCTCAAAAAATAAATAAAATCTTTAAAAAAAAAAAAATTAAAAAAAATTTAAAAGTACGAAGAAGTGGGGGACCTGGGTGGCTCAGTCGGTTAAGCATCCAACTCATGATTTGGGCTCAGGTCATGATCTCAAAGATCGTGAGACTGAGCAGGCACTGGGCTCCATGCACAGCAGGGAGTCTGCTTGGGATTCTCTCTCCTTCTCCCTGTGCCCCTCCCCCTACTTGCATGACCTGGAGCATGTGAAGCACCCTCTCTCTCTAATAATAAATCTTTTTTTTTTTTTAAAGTACAAAGAAATGTTTAAGGTATACTACAATATATGTGGGGGTTTCTTACCCCAAAAAAGTGGGGGGGAGGGCGGAGGACAGGAAGAAATACAGTGTATAATTGCTTGTGTACATATAGACTATCTCTGGAGGGATTTCCAAGAACATTGCCTACAGGAGAAAGGAACAAAATGGCTGAAGTACCAAAAGGGAGACTCTTTTGTCCCTTTTGAGTATTTTACCAGATGCAAGTACTAATTTTAAAATGCTGTAATTTAAATTTTTTTAATATGAATTTTATTCTTTCATTATTTTAAAATTTAAATCTTCAGAGTCCATTGTCAAATATGAGCCATGGAAAATATGCTAATAAGTAACAATTTTCATTTTTTCAAAGCAGATAATACCAAAAAATGCTTGTTTCATTGTTCTTACTCTCTCTGAGTTAAAAACAATATTACTCCTAAATAGTTTGATTTTTTAAATACATCTTACTTGCTTAACATCTAAATGAGAGTTCAAGATATTAGCAATAGACTTGAAAGGTTCATGTGTAGGACTTGAAAAATACAATCAAAAGCAGTCAAACCAGTAAGCCTTGTAAAACAAGAATTTAATATGTCATAATAAGTACATATGAAAATAAAAGGTAATGCCACTAAGCATACTCCAATTCTAGTGCTGAATTCTATACTGAAGACTTTTTTAAGACAATCTCCTATTCTCAGTAAACTGTCCTTCTGCACAGGGAAAAATAACCTCAAAGAGCTATAACAAAAATTATTTATAAAGATTTTACACTTCTTTTTAGAAAAACAAATATTGCCAAAAACTATTTTTAACAGATTTATTATTACAAATTTCCTAACTTAAGGACTACTTTAGAGAAGGTAGTTTTGAATACTCCTTGAGAGCATGTCTCTATTCTCAGCATCTGGCACAGTGACTGGTACATAATATATGAATAGTAAACATCAAAACATCAAATTGTTATTCAGTCAATAAGGTAAAAAAGAGAAATGTATTCAATTTTCAATAAACAAATGCTCTCTACAACAGTACTGATCTGGTCGTGGGAGAATAACCAAAAACTAGCACATAGATTACAAAGAAAAGCTTAACCGCTTTGCATTATTGCATCATTAATGTTTTATGGTTACCTCTACCAAAGACAGCCCATTATAACTTACTAAGATTTGTTAGAATGTACTAATTAAAGTAAAAGTTTTATATTTAAGATAAATGTTAAAATAGAATAGTATGAAAATAACTGTTCATGCTAAGAACTTTGTAGTGTCCATAGAGGCAATCAAATTAAATATTGTGGCTCTTGAGTAAATACCCAAAAGCCTTTTATTTTATTATTTTTTATTTTTTATTGTTGTTAATCACCATACATTACATCATTAGTTTTAGCCCAAAAGCCTTTTATTTTATTTTTTTTATTGTTATGTTAATCACCATACATTACATCATTAGTTTTAGCCCAAAAGCCTTTTAAAAAAATAAGCATGAATAGGGGTGCCTGGGTGGCTCAGTCAGCAAGCATCTACCTTTGGCTCAGGTCATGATCCCAGGGTCCCTGGAATCAAGCCCCGAATCAAGCCTGCTTCTCCCTCTCCCTCTGCCTGCCACTCCCCTTGCTTATGCTCTCTTTCTCTGTCAAATAAATAAATAAAATCTTTAAAAAATAAATAAGCGGGGCGCCTGGGTGGCTCAGTCATTAAGCGTCTGCCTTCGGCTCAGGTCATGATCCCGGGGTCCTGGGATCGAGCCCCGCATCGGGCTCCTCACTCCGCGGGAAGCCTGCTTCTCCCTCTCACACTCCCCTTGCTTGTGTTCCCTCTCTTGCTGTCTCTCTCTCTGTCAAATAAATAAATAAAAATCTTTAAAAAAAAAAAAAAGTCCCTAAACTATTAAAATAAATAAATAAATAAGCATGAATAATTCCAAGAATCCTTTTAATTTTGATGTATCAAAGCACGTATGCTAAGATTTTGGGAAGAACACAAACATTCTATTCTTCACTTCTTTACCTCATGATCAGACTAGAAGGGCTTAAGACATGTGATAACACACATCAATGAACATTAGTTGGAGGCTATATATCACTAAGAAATCTCTCTAAAATAATTACAAATGTCTGTGTACTGGGACCTCAATCAGCAAGTTCTAAGATATCTCCTCCATTTATCCCTAAAAGTGCCTCAAAAACCATTAGCGATAACTGGCAACTTAATTCTTTCAAAAAATGTTTAAAAAACTTAATTTTGGGGTGCCTGGGTGGCTCAGTGGGTTAAGCATGGGACTCGGCTCATGATCTCAGGATTGGGAGACTGAGCTGGGCGTGGAGCCTACTTACAAGTCTCTCTCTGCCCCTCCCCCACGCACGCACCCCTCTCTCTCTCTCCCCTTCACCCCCCCCAGGACAAAAAAAAAACAACTTAATTTCACCAATACCTCTGAGACATCTAGCCTCCACACCTTTATAACAAGAGCAACCAACTCTGTTCCAAAAGTCTATTAAACTCAGGCCTGCATGGGTTATTATTTCTATAAATTTAGTAATTTTAAAAAACTAGTTTTCTTGGGGCACCTGGGTGGTTCAGATGGTTAAGCATCTGCCTTCAGCTCAGGTCATGATCTCCAGGTCCTGGGATGGAGCCCTACATTGGGCTCCCAGCTCAGCAGGGAGTCTGCTTCTGCCTCTCCCCCTGCTTGTGCTCTGTCTCTCTCTCTCTCTCTCAAATGAATAAATAAAATCTTAGGGAAAAAAAATTATTATTAACCTAGGAACCTATAGAGCTGTACACTGATCACTGTCACTAGCCTTGAAACATGGCTAGTCCAAATTGAGATGTGCTCAAAGGTAAAATACCTACCAGATTTCTAAGGCTTAATACAAAAAAAGAATGTCAGATATTCTGCTAATAATTTTATGTTGATTCCATGTTGAAACAATACTTTATAGATATATTGAGTTAAATAAAATTAGTCTGTTTTGTCTTTACCTTTTTAATATAGCTAAAAAATTTTAAATTACATGTGGCTCACATGTGCAGCACAAATATTTGTATTGAACAGCACTGCTACACAATATCCAAAATTCTATGGGAGCATAAAGGAAATGCACAGAAGAATTCTAGATACCAGTGATTAATCTTTTTAAGTTCTAAACTCAATTCCCAGGCTTGCTCACAAAAAGCTATTTAAACGATAATATGGCAGCTGAAATTTTGCATATTAAAAAAAATGAAAATACTACAAAGTCATCTTTTCCTCTTTAATTGTCAAAAATATTTTTGAAATCATTTCAAAACATAATAGACACACAGTAGCCTGCAAATGTATTCTTGTAGTTATAAAGACTAGAAATAACCTGTGAAAATCTCCAGGGATAAAGCCTCGTCTACTGTAGTAAATTCCTAAATGATCTATGTACAAGCACCTTGACCCCCTCTAATCTGATCTCCATACTGCAGCCAGAATTGTCTTTTCCAAAAGCCAGTCTGATCAGTAATCTCTCCCCACTCCATGGATTAAAGTCCTAATCACTTCTCACCAACCTTAGCAGACAAACTCAAACACAGCAGGCAAGAACCTGTGCAGCCTGGCCTCTGCCTAGTTCTCTAGCTTCATTTTCAAGTGTGTACTTCTTGCAGTACTCTAGACTCATTGATCTTCCTCTCAGTCCTACCAGGCTATTTCCTGTCTTATAGCTCCCTTAGCTTGGAACATACCCTCTCTTCTCCATCCAATTAACTTTCCTATGCATTCTTCAGATCTCACATGAACTGTCTACTTATTTAACAAACTCTTAAACAGAGTTTTTACTATATGTATGACACCATCCTAAACATGACACAAATTAACTCGTTTATAGTTGGATTAAATACAATCACAACCCTAAAGCTTAGGTACTATTATTATACTCATTTAACAGATGAGGAAACTGATGCACAGAGTTTCCCAAAGTCATGCAACTAGTAAGGAAAGCCTCCGTGACCAGGTCAAATTTTCATTGTTAGTCCTTAGATCGCTCCTTTATATCACTTACTACAGTTGTAATGTTATACTTATTTATGTGATTACTTAATTAACATTTTCCCAACTACAATATATATCATGAGGTCTGGCAAGGTGTTAACTTTTGTTCAACACTGCATATTTGATGGTCATTAGCACAGTACCTGGCATATATTAGGTGTTCAATGTTTTTTTTACTAAACTTTTTGAAGTAATTATGATTTCACATGCAGTTGTAATAAATCATAGAGATATCCTGTGTACCTTTTACTCAGTTTCC